GATTCATGATGACTAGGAATGTGAGTATCATCCAAGGTGTTAGAAAGGGATTTGATGATTGGAAGATAAAGATGTTAGTTGTCTTTGGGTTTTAAGATGTAACGGATGTGGTAATGAGTAGGTTTGAAGACCCTAGAGACAACGCTACAGAAGAAGCCTAGAAGCACTTCAAGAATTTTCAAAAGTTGGACAACAAGACCAAATTTCTCATTTACCAATGTATTGGATCGAAGATCTTCAACAAAACTTCTAAAGTTGCAACAATGAAAGAGTGTTGTAAGATTTTGCTAATGGAGACAAGAACAAGAAGGCCAAGATGGAGACCTTGAGAAGACAATTTAAGTTTCTCAGCATGGATGAGAATGAAACCATTGTTGATTATTTTGATAAAGTTAAAAAACATATGAATGCAATGAGGGCCTATAGAAACACCATCACTGATCAGCAGGTTGTTAATAAGATTTTGAGAATATAGCCGCAAATATTTGATCATGTGAATACAATGAGGGCCTGTAGAAACACCATCACTGATCAGCAGGTTGTTAATAAGATTTTGAGAATATAACCGCAAATATTTGATCATGTGAATGCAATGAGGGCCTGTAGAAACACAATCACTGATCAGCAGGTTGTTGATAAGATTTTTAGAACATTGCCGCAAAGATTTGATCATGTTGTAGTGGCAATTGAAGAAACAAAAGACTTGGAGGAGATGGAGGTAGAAGCTTTGCAACATTCTCTTAAAGGTCATTAGTTTAGGATTAACAAGAGGAGGTATAATCAAAAGCACACTCTTCAAGCTAGAACAATGCAGGGGAAAAGACAACACCTCAAAAGGAAAGGAATCGTGCAAAAAGAAAAAACAAGATGAGAGAACATGTGATACTTTTAAGAGTAAGAAAGATCACAAGAAGCAGTAGAACACCTCTAATAATGATAAAGAATAGAAGTTTGACAAAAAGAAGGTAAAGTGTTACAAATGTCAGAAATATGACCACTTTACACGTGAATGCTGCGATAGTGAAGGTACCAAGAACAAGCCAAAGAACCAAGCTAATTTAGCCCAAGATGAAGCTTTTTCTTCAGATTCTGATGTGATGATGTTGTTGGCCAAAACTAGTAATATAAATTCAGAAGAAATCTCTTCTTGGTACCTTGATTCGGGGTGCTCCATGCATATGACTGGGAGGAGAAATTTGTTCATCAAGATTAATGATGTGTCTCAAGGTAAAATCAGATTTGCCAACAACAGGAGCCTCAATATAGAAGGGGTTGAACGTGTTGTATTGAAGGATCATAATGGTAGGGAAATCATCATTGATGATGTGTTGTATGAACTAGGTTTGAAGACAAACTTGATGAGTCTCAGACAGCTTTTGTAGAAAGGATTTTTCATGGAAAGGAAAGAGAATGGTTTGAGTGTATATGACAAAAAACATAAATTGGTGGTTCATGTAAATCTTTATGAAAACATAGCCTTTTGTGTTAATATAAATACACGAAGGCATGAATGTTTTGTCACTGCAGATAATAGGAGTGAGTGGTTATGACATAATAGGTTCGACCATTTGAATTTTCAACATTTGCACAAGCTTAGTTACAAGAATATGGTTATTGGACTCCTTCAATTGTGATTCCAGAGGAAGTTTGTAAAAGAATGCATTCAATACAAGTAGGTCAAACCAAAGTTTAAGAAATTTGTGGTTGACAAAGCAATTGATATGGTATACTCTGGTGTTTGCGGGTCAATGCAAGTTGAAATACCTGGTAGAAATAGGTATATTATTATTTTTTTAGATGATCTCACAAAGAAAATGTGGATTTATTTGTTGTAAAGGAAAAATGAAGTGTTGATTATATTTGAAAAATTTAAAAGAATGGTTGAAAAATAAATTGAAACAAAATAAAGGTGTTGCGGATGGTAGAGGTGAATATGCCTCACCCATGTATTTTTTTAAAATAGCATTTTTAAGTTAATGAGAAATTTATTTTTTTAAAATAATAATTTGTATTCTATTCATGTATTATTTTTAAATGGAATTTTTATAATTTATAATATTTAATTAATCTTTCATAGTTTAAAAAATTTAGTTTTGCAAAATCTAGAAGGAAGATATTCCAAATTTATGACATTTAAATAGTATAAATAAAAAGTAACGATTATATATATATATATATATATATATATATATATATATATATATATATATATTTGAAATAACTTTAGTTTGAATTTATGTAATCCACATATAAGTTACAATATGACTAATCAAACTTTTTGGTAAGTAATTTAAAAAAAAATTAGAAGAAAAAAATAACTTTTTCTCATAAACGAAATTTAGGTGATGAACATATTATAAAAATAAAATAAAAATTGATAATACTATTTTTTTTATTTATATTATACATAAACTAATTTTAAAATTTTTTAATAGTAGTTGATTTCAAAAATTATATTTAAAATAAATTTAAAAAAAATATTTAATAACTTTAATAAGAACATGAAAGAAAATGATATCGACAAAAATTACAATAAAACTTTAAAAAATGACTTTTGATAATTTATATCACTTTACGTATTAATATATATATATATATATATATATATATATATATATTATTTTTAATTATGAAGCAAATTGTATTTTATATTTAAATTTAAAATAAATAAATAAAAGCTTTGAAGCAATTGGGATCTTACCTTTTTCTTTGGATTTGCATCTATGTTTTGTAGATTAAAAGCATAATTTATAATATTTAATTAATCTTTCATAGTTTAAAAAATTTAGTTTTGCAAAATCTGGGAGGAAGATATTCCAAATTTATGACATTTAAATAGTATAAATAAAAAGTAATGATTATATATATATATATATATATATATATATATATATATATTTTAAATAAATTTAGTTTGAATTTATGTAATCCAGTTATAAGTTACAATATGACTAAACAAACTTTTTGGTAAGTAATTTTAAAAAAAAATTAGAAGAAAAAATAACTTTTTCTCATAAACGAAATTATGAACATATTATAAAAATAAAATAAAAATTGATATTATATTTTTTTTAATTTATATTATACATAAACTAATTTCACTACAAGAATTTTACATATTAGCTATGACACATTCCGTAGCTATTTTGTAGCTAATCCCTCGCTGGTATGTTTTGCTACAGATTAGCTACGGAATAGCTATGGAATAGTCCGTAGCTAAATCCAAGTAGCTAATTAGATACAGATATATTCTCTCTCAAATTTGTAGCAAATTTTGTCGCTAAACTGTAGCTAAATCCCTTGCTAATTTAAATGATGAAATTTTGTTTATCTCTAGCTAATTTGATCTCCCAAAACTTGTAGCTAATCCGTAGCTAATCCCTCGCAATTGTTCTGTAGCTAATCCGTAGCTAATCCCTCGCAATTTTTCTCTCGCTAATCCGTAGCTAATCCCTCACAATTTTTCTCTCGCTAATCTGTAGCTTATCCCTCGCAATTTTTCTCTCGCTAATCCGTAGCTAATCCCTCGCAATTTTTCTCTCGCTAATCCGTAGCTAATCCCTAACAATTTATCTCTAGCTAGTGATTAATGCCTCACAATTATTTCTTCGTTAATCTGTAGCTAATCTTTTGTAATGTTTTTCTCACTATTTCATAGCTATCCCTCGTAATTTTTATCAAAATTTATAATATCAAATATTTAAGATTTAAATTATTACTCATTCTTAAAAAAGAAGACAAACTTATCAACTTTCAATATAAAAGTATTGTTTAAACATAGTGAGAGGTGTGGTAAGATTTTGGGAAGAGGGACCTTCAACTGATGAAGATGAAACATGTGAAATACCAAGATCCAAACTCTGACCTATACCATAAATTCTACCTTTTTTATTTTCACCAGCAGTCTTTATCCAAAGATCAGAATCAACTATAGGATGATTTGATGTATCTTCCCCATATTTTTCAATCATAGCATTTTCATATGATTCCTACATCAAATCAATATTTTAGCAATATTATAAATAAACAAAATTTAATATTTATAAAATATACACACTTACAATGAAATTTTTTGCTTTGTTAGACACATATTCACCATCTTTCTTTTTATGAACTTTGCTATATAATTCACCATAAGAAATAGGACGTTTGTGCTCTTCTTCCTGTGAAATAATTTACAATTCAAAATTCAGACATCAATATACCAACATCAAACCTAATATTCAATTTATAACTAGTAATCAATATTGATTAACAATTATATGATCAATGTATTAAATGTATAAAGTATGAATACCATTTTTTTCAAGTGTTGTCCAAAGCTTCTTGATCCTCCTGTGTGCATCATGGCATCAGGCTTGGCAGCCCTATTGGCCTTACCTGCAATGGACTTCTTTTTCCATTCTTCTGTTGCCCATATGTCTACTAATCCAACCCACATCTCTGTCCTTATACTTCTTGGCCCAAAACCCTTTAAGTCTTCAATATTATCTGAATTTGCTTTCTCTTTTGCCTTTTTCCTTGCCTTAGCTAAAGAGTCAGAATATCGATCCATGCATGTCAGATTCCAAATTTTTCTTGCCATACTCTGATCATAAGTTGATGCAAAACGATACTTGTTCTACACCAATAAAAATTAGATAAATTTATTATTTAATACAAAAGTTAAAGCAAAACTATTTAAGTATTTTAACACAATAATTACTAACCATGAAATCATTGAATAAATTTTCTTTCATATCAACAGAATAACTTTTCCAATTTGGTGCTGGATTTGGCATTCTCATAAGTAACTCAGATATAATATCTCAGGAGAATTATAATTTTTTTTGTACACTAAGAAACACAATTTCAGGAGAAAAGCAATATTTGTTTTCAGAATAAATTACAGTCCTATTTTCAAATATCCAAGGGTACTACAGAATAAATTGCAATGCAACACTCTATCCTAAACTTTGATTATTTGTTTTTTTATGGCTAATCACCTTGTCCTTCTAAAGATGATGACATTGAGAAAGGATGGGCTGGTCTTCAGGTTTTATTTTAGCTCCATGTTAGGCTTTTTCTTATGGTTAAAATTGCTTTAGTGTTATAAATTAATATCATGTCGATGAGTGTTCCTACTATATGTACTATGTAGTGTATTCCAAGGGAAGTTTGGCTTGATGAAAGTGGGAACCGGTTGATGCAATGGCCAATTGAAGAGGTAGAAAAACTACATGATAAACAAATTAGCATAACTGGAGAGAAACTGTTTGGTGGATCAGTTCTTGAAATTTCAGGTATCACTGCATCACAGGTAAGTAAACTTGTGCTGTATTTTCTCACATTCTAATTTTTTGTATTTGAAACCATGCAATATATCAAGAAGTTGATCCACACTTGCTGTGTAGTGAAGAATATGTATCAAGAAGTGGCATAATAGGGCCATTTGGTTTATTAGCTTTAGCATCTGAGGACCAAACAGAACACACTGCAATCTTCTTCAGAATATATAAAACTTCCAACAGATATGTATGTTTCATGAGCAGTGACCAGAGCAGGTTATTTCTGACATAATTCTCTCAATTTAATCTATAACTTGTGGTGCATATATTTTACTTTTTCATCAAGAGTAAACTCAACTAGTGATTGAGAGTTGTGTACACCTCACAGGTCTTCATTGCGGCAGGACCTTGATAAAACCACATATGGAACTATCTTTGACATAGACCCCAATCAAAAAACCATATCACTGAGAAGCTTGGTATGTTTATTGCTAATAATGATTATTACCCTTTTTATTTCATCTGTGTTTGCCAGTTTGATATATATATAGATTCATATTATGCAGATTGATCGCTCCATTGTCGATTCCAGACCTTGCATGTTATAAGCAAAGAACAGAAAGTGGGATTCACCATTTTCCACTTCTAAGCAAAGAACAAGACTATACACTAGTTCTATAGTCTTGATTCCAGACACACAAAGGAAACACTAGTTCTATACTCTGCAATGCCATACCTATTAAAGAGCGACACCAACACTTACTCCAATTTCTACCATAACAATAAGCTCTTACTCTGTCAAAATGGAACTCATCACAACACAAAAGAAAATTTCCCTGCCATTATAGTGTTGGCAGTTTCATCTTCTCATTCATTCCATCAATTTGTTCAATTCTTCCTTTAACCTATTAAGAAAGGCTTTAATTCTTTAATACATTAATTAAAAATATATTATTCCAAGAATCAAAGAGAATATCCATTGTTCAGATCGTAGGTATTAAACTAATTGCATCATATAAATTGGAACATTAACTAAACATCAATACATGAACATGTAAGACTTTAACAAGTTAAACAACAGAGATAAGGCAACTGAATGTAACAGGCACGCATCCCAAGTCAAAAATCAAGTAACAAGGTGAGCGACATTCAAAATGTGAGCCAGCATGTAAAGACCGACATCTGCATTATAAAGAGTGGAAAATCGCAACATTCAAAATGAAGAAGAGATTACCGTGAGAAAATGTGAGCGGTAGCGTGTGCGGACGCGGCGCAGGACAACAGCGACAGTGACGCGGGAGCGGGCAGCAGGAGCAAGAACAACGCTGGAGCGGGAGCAAGAGCGGCACAGGACAACAGCGACAGTGGCGCGGGAGCGGACAACAGGAGCGGCGCGAGAGCAGGAGCGGCGTGAGAGCAAGAGCGGCAGCAGCAGCGGCAGGGAGCGGCAGCAGCAGCGGCAGGGAGCGGCAGCAGCAGCGGCAGGAAGCGGCAGCGATAGCGGCACTGAGTGGCGAGGGAACGGGGACGGGACGAGAGAGAGAGGCAACGATGAAACCTAGATGAAAAAAAATTAATTTAGAATTTTATTAAAAGAATTATAAAAAAATAAATTAATTAATATTTCGAATATAATAATTTTTTTATTTCTTATAAAGAATAATTTCTAAAAAAATTATAAAGAAATATTATTTATAAAATTTTCTATTAATTTAAATATTATTAAATATTTAAATTGATTTTAAAATTAATTTTAAATATTTATCAATTTTTTTAGATATTTTTTCAAAAAAATTATAATTATTTTCAAATAATTTATTTTAGACACAAAAAATAATTTATATATATATATAGTAAATTTGGTAAAAATAATTTTCAAATAATTTTATAATTATTTTTTTGCTATAAATTTGCTACAATTTAACTATGATTGTATATTATATAATTTAGCTAAAAAATAGCTTAAAAAATAATATAGTTAATTTATAGCTAGAGATTAGTGATAAAAAAATTTCCTAGCTAAATTATTTTCTATTAAGTGAGGGAATAGTTACAAAAATATTATTTTCTAGCTATTTTACTACATATTAGCTACAATTTTATTCCTTTACTATTCTATAGCTAATTAGCTATAAATTAGTGAAAAAAAAATTTGTAGCAAATTTTCCTAGCTAATTAGAAAAGTTCTTGTAGTGTTTTAAGTATTTTTTAATAGTAGTTGATTTTGAAAATTATATTTAAAATAACTTAAAAAAATATTTAATATCTTTAATTTAAATAGGAAAGAAAATGATATCGACAAAAAATTACAATAAAACTTTAAAAAATGACTTTGACAATTTCTATCACTTTTACGCATTAAAAAAAATAATTAATACTTTAAAAAATTACTTTGACAATTTCTATCACTTTAACTTTAAAAAAATGACTTTGACAATTTCTATCACTTTAATTATGAAGCAAATTGTATTTTATATTTAAATTAAAAATAAATAAATAAATTTTAGTGTAAAAGAAATGTAAAAGTTAAAATATAATAATTATATTAGCAAAAAATGTAAATAATATTGATTTAATGAATAATATCAATACATATTTATAAATAAATAATAATTAGTAAATAGTCAAGTTAAAAAGTTAGTTAATTCTGTTATTTGTTTTTAATTTATATGTTGTTATATATGTGCATATTCATTCATAAAACATATAATTGTTAAGATATTACACAAATTAATATTAATATTGTCTTTGAATTATTTTTCTCTCGTTCTTTACTTTCTTGTTTCTATGTGATAAACCAATGTATGGTTACATTGAAATTAATAAGGTATCAAGAGCAAGGTTTATCGTGTGAGTAATAAAGTGAAACTTTATGATCTTTGTTGTCAGCGTGTGAAGTATGTGGTCATTCTCCTCAGTGGTAAATAATATTAAAAATAATGAAGAATAGTTGAAGATATCAAGATTGGTGAAGTTTTTGGATTTACAGATTCAAGATGACTGAGAATGAGAGTATCATTTAAGGTGCATTAACGATGTTTGATGGAAAGAGCTTTGATGATTGAAACATAAAGATGTTAGTTGTCATTAGGTTTCAAGATGTAGCAAATGTGGTGATGAGTGGACTTGAAAACCCTAGAGACAAGGCTACAGAAGAAACCAAAAAACACTTTAAGAATCTTTAAAAGTTGGGCAGCAAAGCCAAATTTCTCATTTACCAATGTGTTGGACAGAAGATCTTCAATAAAATTTCCAAAGTTGTATCAGCGAAAGAGTGTGGGAAGATTTTGCTAATGGAGACAAGAACAAAAAGGTCAAGATGAAGGAAGACCTTGAGGAGACAATTTGAGTTTCTCAACATGGATGAGAATGAAACAATTGTTGATTACTTTGATTAAGTTCAAAAACATGTGAATGTAATGAGAGCCTGCAGAAACACAATAATTGATGAACAGGTTGTTGATAAGATTTTGAGAACATTGTCGCAAAGATTTGATCATGTTGTAGTGACAATTGAAGAAACAAAAGACTTGGAGGAGATAAAGATAGAAGCTTTAAAACATTCTCTTGAAGTTCATGAGTTTAGGATTAATGAGAAGAGGTATAATCAAGAGTAGACTCTTCAAGCTAGAATAGTCCAAAGGGAAAAGACAACACCTCAAAAGGAAAGAAACCGTTCAAAAAGAATAAACAAGATGAGAAAACAAGTGATACTTTTAAGAGTAAGAAAGATCATAAGAAGTAGCAAAACATCACCTCTAATAATGATAAAGAATGAAAGTTTGACAAAAAGAAGGTGAAGTGTTACAAGTGTCATAAGTATGACCACTTTATACGTGAATGCTGCGATGTTGAAGGTGTCAAGAACAAGCCAAAGAATCAAGCTAATTTAGCTTAAGGTGAAGTTTCTGCAGATTCTGATGTGGTGATGTTGATGGCAAAAACTTGTGATATAAACTCAGAAGAAATCTCTTTTTGGTACCTTGATTCGAGGTGCTCCACGCATATGACTGGGAGGAAAGATTGGTTTACCAAGATTAATGATGTGTCTCAAGGAAAAATCAGATTTTCCGACAACAACAGTCTCAATGTATAAGGGGTTGGACATGTAGTGTTGAAAGATCATATTGGTAGGGAAATCATCATTGATGATGTGTTGTATGTGATAAAAATATTTCCAAAAACCCCTGTCTTGTATTGAATATGATAGCACAATATATACATGAAATACAGAAACATTCTAGGCTATAATTACGCTAACCATTATAGTCGGTATCCTAAATTTGTCTATTAACAGATATGACATTAATGTGCATCACTGTGCATCGCTGTCATGCCAAGCTAAATATGGAAAAAATTAATCATGTAGAATCATGGCATGATACGGTATTTGTAATCGTATATTCTATGTTTATCACCCTCCCTCAAGATGGAGTATGAAGGTTATGAATGCCCAACTTGCCTAAAAAAGAACCAAATTTAGTGGCGCCAAGAGATTTGGTGAAGAGATCAGCCAGTTGATGATGAGTGGACACATAGGAGGGTTGGATATGATTGTGTTGTATTTCATCACGAATAAGATGACAATCCACTTCAATATGTTTTGTCCGTTCATGAAACACAGGATTCTTGGCAATGTGAAGGGCAGCTTGGTTGTCACAGTAGAGAGTCATAGGGTCGGTGTGAGTAATGCCTAGGCTCGAAAGAAGGCCTTGAAGCCATTTCAACTCACATGTCGTGTTGGCCATAGAACGATATTCTGCCTCAGCGGATGATCGAGAAACCGTATGTTGCTTCTTGGTTTTCCAGGAAACGGGGGATTGACCAAGGAAAATAAACCAACCGGTGAGAGATCTTCGAGTGAGAGGACAACTTGCCCAGTCCGAGTCACACCAACCATAAAGACGAAGGTCACTCTCTCTTTTTAAAAGCACACCCTGACCCGGGCTGCCCTTTAAATAGCGTACCACGCGGAGTGCAGCCCGCCAATGCTCCTGACGCGGTTGGTGCATGAATTGAGATAGGACATGAA